GTCACCCAGTTCTGCGGTTTCACAAGTTGTAGGAAAAAATGATTATCTAGATCATGACCCCTAGCATTTAAATGCATCCTGCAAACCACCCGACAAAATTTATTATTACTACCTATCATGCCATATTATATTTGGAAAAAAAAAACACCATTCTAAAGAACTCACACAGACGGGTTAGCGTTCAACACTTTCTGAAAGAATGGGTAATCGCAGTCTTCATATAAAGGCACAGTGTCTGGAAAACTATATTGATTCTTCGTCAACAGCAATGCAGCCAACTGCTCCTCCTCCTCACCTGGTCTATGAATCACAGTCGTAGGTGTTGACGAGTCACTAACTTCTTCTACACTTTTCTCAGCCTCCTCAATTGACCCCATTTGCTCTGCCAAATCTTCAGCATGTACTGCTTCTTCAACCTACAACATCACATCAATCAATCAATACAGTTATGTGGTGTACACATGAACACTATTCATGGGGTGTACACATGAACACCATACTCGGTGTACACACTTCAGTTATCATGTACCTTGCTTTCTTCTTCTATTTCAGCTTTTATTTCTTCACCTCGTCTATTTTCTGACACCAATTGCTCATTAGAACCATTTTGCTCACCGATATCACCACCATTTACTGGTTCTTCAACCTACAACATCACCAACAATCAATCAATACATTTCTGTCCTGTACACAAAAACAATATCCTGGGGGGGGGGTACACATGTACACCATATTCGGTGTACACAATTCAGTAATCATGTACCTTGCTTTCTTCTTCTATTTCAGCTTCTTTTTCTTCACTTCGTCTATGCTCTGATACCAATTGCTCATTAGATCCCTTTTGCTCACCGCTATCACCACCATTTACTGGTTCTCCAATCTACAATGTCGCCATCAATCAATAAATAAATTTTTAACCCACAGTAATGTGGTGTAAAATTTAAAGATTTTCAGAAATCGGGAATTTTGTACCTTCCTTTCTTGTCCTATTACATATTCTTTTTCAAGACCTCGTCTATCCTGAACAGTCTCCTGAGTTGACAGCAATTGCTCAGTTGACCCCTTTTGCTCTTCGAAATCACCACCATTCAGTGGTTCTCCAATCTACAATGTCACCATCAATCAATTCATACATTTCAATCCTGTACACATGTACACTATCCTAGATGTACACAAGTCAGGATTATTTACCTTGCTTTCTTCTCCTATTTCAGCTACTTTTCCTTCACCTTCTCTATGCGTCCTAGTCTCCCCAGGCGACACCTTTAGCTCAGCGCAATCAGCACCCTTTATTGATTCTTCAAACTACAACGCCACCATCAATCCATGCTTGACGACTATTCATTCACTTAAACTACAATATGTTTACTCTAACCAAATAAATAGACTGGGCCTTACCTCTCCCCTCACATCTGCTACTGTCTTGCTGTCTACAGATTCGACAATCTCCTCCTTTCCCTAAACAAATACAAAACCAACTCAATACTTCTCAAAGACATGTACAAAACATTATTTTACCTGGAACTGGTCTTCTCTCTTGATTTCACCTTCTTTTCCTTCGCCAACAACTCCTAAAGTCCCTTCGTAGACCTACAATGCCATTGTATGCAAACATCTATAACGTCCCTTCAATCCTTTCAATATCATTCAATAAGTAAAAACCAAGTAAACACTAACCCAAAGTAGCAACCATTACAAATAATATACCTTATCACTGTCCAGCTCCTCTTCACTTCCTCCCCCATCTACATCACAACACTCCTCCGATAGGAAAATATCCTTCTCGTCCACCTGATTATTTAAATTCATTTAAAGTTAACTTTCAACACAAAAAACTAAAAGTATATATCCCAACAAAGTGTGCACTTACAGTTTCTTCCAACGCATTCCCACCCATGTGATCCACATTTAGTTGCTTAGCATCCACATTTTGTTCCCCATGGTCAGTACTACTGCCTTAACCAGAACACCTAATCTACTCATTTCTTGTTAAAGAAACCATTCAAAAACACAAATCTTACCAAAACAATGGAACTCCTTTATATTTCTTAAAACATTCTGACAACAAGAACTTACATCTGCGTCCAGTCCATCATCAGAAATATCCTCCTCGTTGCCTACACCGGAGGTAAGCCCATGTCTCATCCTAACAAGCAAACTTGGCCCTTCCTGTGAGAAAATGTCATCTTTCCCGGATATCAGCTCATCTTCCTCGTTACCAACAATCATACTTTCCCCACCGAATTCACCAACAGATCTATCTTTCCCTTTCATCCTCAATTTTAATCCACTTTTCCTTTTCCCAAAGGTACTCATTCTCTTCTTGCTTTTCCATTTTCTCTTTTTTTTCCCAAGTTTCTCACACAAATCTCAGACTCTAACCAATTTTTTGCCATTCTCTTCTATTTTCTCCTCCATCTTGGCAAATTTCTCAGCATCAACAGTACCTGCCGGTTGTAATATGTGCTCATCCGTCTTTGTTTAAGAACAGGCTGCTGGTTTCCAGATACAGCTTTCCTCTTCTTTGGCTTAACCACCTCAGAATGTACATACAGAGGATCCCATACGTCACCTCCCCCCCAGTGTGCCTTACTAAACACATGCCCTTCCTTAATCAACCCCACCATATACTCTACCTTCTTGTCATACATCTCATCATCGAACAGCCCCCACCTCTCCGGTTTTTCATCACTAAATTCCAACATTGGCTGCACCACAATCTGCATTGGCAAACACGGACAAAATTTTTAAATAGCAGACGTACACCATCCTACTCGTGTACACCGTACACCATCGTACTCAGCCTGGGTGTACATATGTACACCACATTCTAAACTACAACACAAAAAAAAAAAAAATTACCTCTCTCTCGTGTTCTGCCATCCTGGCGTCAAACAGTCAGCCCCGCATGTTTTGGCAAAAATCTACCCGGGTAGGTTAACAACATGATGCTATCATCACCACCTGCCCTTTCAAGCAGCTTTGGAATGGCCTCAAAAGCTACCAACTGTAACGACAAAGGGAAGCCAAACAACCTCATCGTCTTCTGCCTGAGCTTCTTACACAGATCTCCAGTTGAATCAACACACTTCCCCCAGACCTCTGCTGCAGGTATCGTCGTGCTTAAAGTCCACAGAAACGATTCTCTGCCCCATTGGAAAGCAAAGAACTTTTTCAAGTTCTGTACTAGGTTCACATTCTTAAGACTCGGCTTTGGTTTCTGTGATGTAGCAAGCAAAACGCCATCTACAATAATGATTAGGCACAATCTAAACTTACGCCAGCTAGGCATCTCCTCATCTCCTAAAACCATTGCAACCAGCCCTTCAACAGTAACATCCCTGTCTTCTCCAATAAGCTTATCCCAGTAATCGTAATTTTCTTCCTTCTCAGGTACTTGATAATCAATATTATACCCATCTTCAAACGCCCCACATGGTAAACCAGTTACTTCACCAAACTCAACCAACGAAAATCGCATGGGGTTCCCAGCAAAAGCCGACCACATTTCGTACTTTTTCTTCGTCACCACCTGTCTCGTCAGCATGCCATGAAAACATTTTCCCATCAAAAGCCTTCTAGTTGGGATCTTGAAAAGGCCACCAAAGCACGACCTAAAAAGTCTATCCATCTCTGCCGTACCGTCTAAAGCGTCACGAACCGCCAGTAAATGGTTTATCGTAGAATACATGTTCACTCTTTCGTTTGGAAATCGGTCAGTCGCAAACAACCGTTCCGGCAGTCTTTCTGTAATATCCTCCACCTCCGTCAACTCTGTAAACAGAAAACCACTTAAGTATAGTGTTCTCTACTTATGCCATTCATTTACCCTCAATAAAATCCATCTCAAATTAAAATCCAGAAGTAAAGGATTAAAAAACTCACCATTGTCGGTCTCTTTACCACGGCGGCTGCGTCGTCTCGACATCGTCCTCTTACAGCGAGTAGAAAGTTCTCTCGATTTTAACGGCCCAGGTAATTTCTCTACTCTCCTATTCCCAGATTTTACCCTAATTAGTGAACAAAGATAACAAAAGGGAAAACTCACGACTTTTCACTCTTAACCCCGACAAGATCTTAACCCTAGTTAAAACAAACCCAGGTTACCTCTAATAATATATTACTTTCCAATTTCGAAATTCAAAATCATAACCAAACAATTTAACTAACTAAAACACCAAACCTCCGTTTAGAAAAATCTAAGGACAAGTTGAGTCTTTTAACACATAAAGTGTCCTAGTAGCTTAAACTGCCTTTTAGTGTTAATAAAACACTAAAACTGCCTCTCAGAGACAAAAACTCTTCTTTGACTATCTATCGTTGCAATTAATCGAGAATAAAATAATGTTTTTTTTCAGACAGTGGTTGTCGATGTGAATAGTGAGATCAGATTTCTACTGACTCAGCAGTACACTTCGTCTTTTGCTAATTGGACCTTGGAATGGCCTATATCCGGAATTAGATATTTATTACGGTATATGTTTTGGATTCGGTTCAAATTTGATTTATACCTGATTATATCTAAAGTACCGCATTACAAAATGGATTCAGATTTAGATTTCAGATGAATTCAGTTACAATGGGAGATCAGGGTATGCTGACTCAGCAGCTCACTTGCTACGTGTTCCACATCGTAATTTACGTTTTAAGCCTGTAAATGGGCCTAAACCTAACCTAATGGGCCAATATATGAGATTAACGAAGCTTGCAAGGGAATATTGGGCAGAGAGAGCATATATGGCGAGAATCATGGCTTGCAATTTACAAACCTTTTCAGTTTCCCTCTATCTCTCTCAAAGGAAGGAAAAGTTCGCACCTTTCCCTCTCTCTAGGGTTTCTCTTAAAGCTTTCTTCGTCGTTTTCTCTATAATATTCAAAAAAATCCAATCGTCTCCATCTTCAAAAACTTCCTCAATTTTCGAATTGATTCACAAAGTTGGCTCCTTTCCTCGTTTTCTTGTAGTGGGTCAATAAAAATCGAATTCGGCGATTGTGTAACGATGGGGGAGATTCTGACGGGAGGGGTAATCGAGATGTTAAGAAAGGAAACAGTGAAGAATCAAGAACACATGAAACCGATTCTGCAAGTGACGGAAATGAAGAAGTTCACGTCTCACCAAGAACCTTCCAATGAGAGGATTAGGGTTTTGTTATCAGACGGGACTGCCTTTATTCAGGGCATGCTTGGGGTTGCTCTCAACCCTCTTGTCAATGATGGGCTTCTTCAAACCGGTTCCATCCTAAGGCTCGATCGTTTCCTCTGTAGTGACATCCAAAATAAAAAGTAAAGGCACTTTCTTTCTTTTTTTATTTTTATTTTATTTTGATTTTGTATTTGATTGGTGTTTGAGTTTAAATTAGAATTGTTGTTTTGGGGGTTGTGTCATAAAAGTTATGTTTTGTTTTGTTTGTTTGTTAGGATTGTTGTTGTTACGGAAGTGGAAGTGATTACAACGAAAGCTGATATAATTGGAAATCATGTACGAGCAAGAAAGGCTAGTGATCAGAGTGGAGGAGAGTCTAGTAACAAGTCTAATGCAACTAGTGGTTTTGAGCAACATGGTAGGAGTGATGTGACTAGTACTGGTGGTCGCCAAGTTAACAACACCGAGATTGGGACAAGTTACGTTGGTCAACAGAGACCACAACTGTATGGTTCTGGTTCTGGTTCTAGTTTTGAGCAAAGTGCGAGGAGTGATTTGAGCGGTGGTCATCAAATCAATACAGGGACAAGCCATGCAGCTATTCCACCTCAACAGAGACCACAAGTGTATGGTTCTGGTTCTAGTTTTGAGCAAAATGGTAGGAGTGGTAGTAATCAAATCAATACAGGAACAAGTCACGCAGCTATTCCACCTCAACAGAGACAACAAGTGTATGGTTCTGGTTCTAGTGTAGCTGGATCAGCACCTTCCGCTAGGTCCTACAGCAATCCTCCAACCACTTATCCTCCTCAGCGCCAGCAACAACCACCCATGTATCAAAACAGGGGACCAGTGGCGAGGAACGAGGCCCCTCCTAGGATTATTCCTATTAATGCTCTTAACCCTTACTCAGGCAGGTGGACCATCAAGGCAAGGGTGACGAGCAAAGGAGATCTTAGGCGTTACAACAATCCGCGTGGGGATGGGAAAGTGTTCAGCTTCGACCTTCTAGACGCTGATGGTGGAGAGATAAGAGCTGCTTGTTTCAACGCCGTGGCTGATCAGTTCTTTGAGCAGATCGTCGTTGGTAATCTTTATCTGATTTCAAGAGGGAGCCTGCGTCCTGCTCAGAAGAAGTACAATCATCTCCCTAACGACTACGAAATCACTCTAAATAATGAATCAACGATAGAACAGTGCTACGAGGAGGACGCCGCCATTCCCAAGAATCTGTACAATTTCCGCTCCATCGGTGATATCGAAAGCATGGAGACTGACAGCATCATTGACGTGATTGGGATCGTCTCATCTATCAGTCCTACTGTTTCGATAATGAGGAAAACCGGGACCGAGACGCAGAAGAGATCTCTCCAGTTGAAAGATATGTCTGGTAGAAGTGTTGAGGTGACTATGTGGGGTAACTTGTGTAACGCAGAGGGACAACAGCTGCAGAGTCTTTGTGACTCTGGTGAGTTTCCGGTTCTTACTGTTAAGGGGGCAAGGATCAGTGAGTTTAATGGGAAGGCGGTGAGTACTATTGGATCAAGTCAACTGTTTGTTGAGCCAGATCTCGTTGAAGCTCAGAAACTTAAGGAATGGTTTGCAAGAGAAGGAAGGAGTGCTCCTTTTATCTCCATATCGAGAGAGCTTACCGGTGGCGGCAGAGTAGATGTTCGTAAAACTATCTCTCAGATTAAAGATGAGAAGCTAGGGACTTCTGAGAAACCGGACTGGATCACAGTCAATGCCACCATTATATACATGAAGGTTGACAACTTCTACTACACTGCGTGTCCTCTCATGAACGGTGACCGTCAATGCAACAAAAAGGTGACGGATAATGGAGATGGCACGTGGCGGTGTGAGAAGTGTGATAAATGCGTTGATGAGTGTGACTACAGGTATATACTGCAGCTACAGTTACAGGACCATACAGGTCTTACATGGGTCACAGCGTTTCAAGAGGCTGGTGAAGAGATAATGGGAATGCCTGCTAAGGATTTGTATTATGTGAAGCATGAACACATGGATGAGGAGAAGTTTGAAGGTATCATCCGTAAGGTTGCTTTTACCAAATACTTGTTCAAGCTGAAGGTGAAAGAAGAAACATATGGGGATGAACCTACTGTGAAAGCAACCGTTGTGAAAGTAGAGAAGATAAACTATGGGTCTGATACAAGGACTGTTCTTGAGGCCATAGACAAACTCAGGACCGAGAATGCAAGTTCTGATGCAGGTAACTCTGGTATTGGAACCTCAGGAACCAGAGATCCCTCCTCATCACTCGAAAGAAACCAAGCTGATCAATATGAGAACCAAGGGCAGTACATGGGTGGCTCTTACAGAGGCTCGGGTAGTTATGGAGGAGGACTACCAAGGCAACATGTTGGAGGCTACTGAATTTGCTATCATTTGATGTTCTCATTCTGTTGTATGTTTTTCTTTATATATAATAGCCAGGCTTTTCTGAAGCCTTTTTAGGCTACTTATGCATATCATGTACTCTGTGATTCTGCAAACTTCAAAACACGTTTTGTTTTTCCTCAGTTTAGGGATGGTGGTTTTTTCTTTTTTTTTGGCAAATGTGCGTCTGCAGACATGTTTAAAGGATGTCAAACACCTCCAAACTTCAAGATATTTAATACAAAGCTTTACATTTATGTAACTGTATATTTGACACTTTCTTGCAGGGCTAAAAGTGTGCAAATTAGTTAGCCATTACTTCCATATTTTTGTTCTTATGGGCGCTGGTTAGATATGTCAGACGCATTAGTTTCCTTTTCAAGTTTAAATATGTTGTAGGTATGATGATGTCTTTTCTTAGAGTCGGAATCCCTGGGTGAGATGAACTAATGAAGGGTGTCCTTCCTGTTAGGGAACACTTACCTTTCTGTTTGTTCATTTGCCTCTTCGAGCTCTCAGTATGTGTTTTTTCGTCTACTTTTGCCTTTAATGGTCAAACCCCAGCCGTTGATGTTCGAAGTAAATAACGGTCAGTCTACCCTGCTGTACTGCTGCTATATATATATCTTTCAGAAATTCTTTACAAACCTAAAATAAAGAAGGCCACTTTGGTTTACCAAAAAGACCATGGAGGGTAACTAAAGTTTCTCTTATTATTATTATTATTATTATTATTTATATCTTTATCATCTGACCCCCTTGATTTGCGGTTTATTAGTTAGCTTTGAACTTATATGTACAAGCTAATTAAAGAGGTAAGTGATGGAACTTTTGTTAGTGTTTGGCGAATTATACTTTGTCTTTACCTACTTTTCTTCCTGCTTGCAGTTTGATATTATTTCCTGACACTAATTCATGGAAACTGAATATGCATATATCATTCGTTATTTGATCAGGAGTGGACATTTTTTACCAGCTCATATATGAAGGATTGGCAAAAGTTTTTTTTGTTTTGTTGAAGCTGCTGATACTATAAACTGGTGCATTCAAGTCTTCCAAGTTTTTTCAAAAAAAAAAGTCTTCCAAGTCCTTTCTTACATGCATCAGCGTAACTCTCTAATCTCATAAGTTTTTATCAGATGGGATCCCGTATCTCACACCTAGCTATAGCCAATGGAGTCCTGTGATTCAAGAAAATTGCTTTTTGAACTTTATATTTGCATTAAGAAAAATGCTCTTTCTTCTCTAGAGTTTTCATCAGTCCCTTCACTATCTTACCAAACCACATCAAGTTCATTACCCTCAATGAAAACTGTACCACTAAAACCAGTAGATAACCGAATATTTGCATTAATACCACCTGCCAGAAAATATCCATACATTTCAGTCCGTTACCCTCTATAATTAATCAGCACGAACAGAAAAGGCAGAGTATAAAGCTAGACCGTTTGGTCTTTCACCTGATCATAGTGTATGTAGACATGGTAAAACATGTAGATGAAGAGAATAATTCTTGCTCCCTGTCTGATCAAAAAAAAAAAAATACACAAACCAAGCCAAGAAAATAGCAACTCTCCATTCATAAGATAGGCTCTAGATCGCTTCAAACCAGAGGTGTCAAGGTACCATCTAAGATTTGATCTCTGGTAATTACCATCTTGCATGTGAACAGAAGCATAATTACCATTTTGCAGAGAAAGACTCCAGCAAGAGCAGAAGTATAAGGAAGAAATGATCTGCTAATAGATAAAAGTTTAACAAAACCCTCTGCCCGATTCTGGTAAGACTTCATGTCCATGATTCTTGTAAGACTTTTAGAAACCTTAACTTCTCTCAAGCTTCATATAGTTACTAAAATACATAAACAAGAACAAACTATATGCAACTTCATCCAAGTCATTCTCCTAAACACATTAAAATACAATATTAAAAGAAAATCTATAACCTTGTGTCGCTTATTATACGAAAGGTTTTTGTGAAATAGATTAGAAGAAACCAGGAAAACGAAGAAAGGTACTTGTTTTTCAATGTTTGGTAGAGAATTGTTAGCTTGAAGATGCAAACTGAACATATGAGTTTGAACTAGTGTGGACTGTTGTACGGATCAACTTGAAATTGACTTAAGAAACAAGTTTAATTAATATTTTGTAAATCCAAAAAATACCAGAAAGACATAACAGAATTTTCATCTTTGTGAATGCTCTCACCGTTTCTTGCTTGTTTTATCCCGTGGACCAATAAAATGAAAGAAATCACCATTTCGATGGGGTTTGAGGTTGTTTTATATTTAGTTCGGTGATTCATATAATAAATTTGTAATGTTTGTTTTTTATATATATTTTTATTTGATCAAACGATTTTTAATTGCAACGTGCAATTTAATAACACAATATTGTGCGATATGTTTAACATATTTGACACGTATAAATCTGACTAGTTTAATATTTTCAGAGGGGGAGTTTCTCATGCTTAATGTTTTGAAGGCTAATTAAGTGTTCTTGATGAACTAATCTATTCTATTTATTCTATTAAAATAGAGTCATTCTTTTTATCTCCTGATACAAATTGTCATTTAAATTTGGACACTTTCTAAAGTGTTATAAATAATACAAGTTATATAGTTGATTGAACCGCATTACTTAAATTAAACCGGCGGTTATTTATGGAATAGAGTTTTGGGCTTACTTTTGTTTTTATGACATTTAATTATTTGGTTTTTGGGCTTAGTATTAAAGAAAAACTCCAAAAAACATTAAATAAACTTTCCACCTTGATGGATCAAAAATCAATTTTTATTTTCAGGCCCAAAAATATTTAATATTTTCAACACAAAAAATTATCTATTATTAATCACTTATTTAAATCATGTACTTTAAAACATGTTAATATTTTTTAGCCCAAAAATATTTAATATTTTCAACAAAACAAAATTATCTATTATTAATCACTTATTTAAATCATGTACTTTAAAACATGTTAATATTTTTTTATTTTAAATAACAATCGCTCTATCTTGATAAATTTTAATGGTAACTTTTAAATAATTTATTGTTTTATTTTTCTTAAATAATTTACAGATTTTAAAAAATGTAAAGTAAAACCAAAAACCAAAACTAAAATCCAAAACCAAAAGTTGAAAACGCAGGTTATATTTTATGTTTTTTTTATTTACAAAATAAACTATTTCAAAATTTTTAGAAAATTATTTTGTCATCTTTTCAGTTTTAAATTACATGTTCGATTAATTGAGATTTGTTTGTTGGTAATATCAGTTCAAACTAACGGGTCTAAAAATTAAAAACCCAAACCAAAAGCTAAAAATCAAAAAAAGAAACTTAAAAACTAAAAACCAAAATTTAAAACAAAATCTAAAAATAAAAACTGAAACTAAAAACTATTGAAAAACAACTATCACCCCAAATTTTGGTAAACTAATTGTATACCAAAACATTCTTTAAATTAAGACAAAACCCAATTATATAAATTATTAATTATAAAAAAATTTCGCGCTTTTCAAGCGCGGGTCAAAATCTAGTTGGTATTATATTAGGCTTCAAGAAATTGAGAGTGTGAAAGTTAAAGTAAAAGAAAAACTTGAGTTATTTATGGTACATTACAAAATACCAGTAGCCTTACTTTTTTTAACTGATGCAGAGCATATAAGTAAGAACTCGCCGCAGTTAAACTGTATTTCCTAACCAACATTGATATCTCGAAGGCATTGAGTAAATGCTTAATGTAAAATCTAATCATCTACCCGAAGTGAAGGTTATTGGCATGGCGTCTTGATTTACACTGAGATAATGAGGATGTGCCATGCAACTCGGACAATGTGAGCCTTGTGATATAAATGCCAACTATTAAAAAAAAGGCAGAGATATCTTTTGCATCGACCAGTGACAAATGTTAATGCATATTTTAATAAGTAGTGAAGATTATCTTAAAATATGTTTGTTGGTGAGCTTCCTCCTAAACTGTCTCTGCAAACAGTAGTCATCTAAACAGGTAGACGTGCCTGATATTCTTGAAGGAGACGACAGTATTGATGGTTGGTCAAAGAGTGTGTTACAGAGGTAGCGGGACACATCTCTTATGTTAAGCTATATCATACTTTTGTAACTTGTATAATGTCTTGACTACTTCAGTTCATATCTAAGTGATTGGAAGGTTTGAAAAGGAAGAGAGCCTTAAAAGCATCAAACATTGATAAGCCTTTAGAAAGACACAAAAAATGTGCTGCATGTCTTTAAAAAAAAATACTATAGTTTAACAAAAAAGTCCAAACAAAAAAGAAGATTAAAGAAACATACAAATAAGAATAAAACACTCACAAAAGGAGTTAGAGATACATTAAGTTCTCAGTGTCGTCCAATCCAATAACGTCACATCTACCGTTTAGAAAGCAGTTTGATCCGTCTTTGATTTCAACTTTTCTCAAATGATTCTTTTGTATATTGTAAAGTAAAACGTAGAAGAGAGTTGTGCCTTGAGGAAAGAATTTGATCCAGCCGTATCTAACCTCATGAGTAAGATTGTGAGGTGCCAAGATAACGTCACCGTTTCTAGTTGTACCATGTACCCTCAAATAATAGCTACGGTCTGCATGATTCGTTTTGACCATATTCATTTGAGAAGGATGCAACACCAGAGTCTTCTTTGACCATATATTGTTCTCTTCATCTTCCATAACCCATAGTTTCATCACACCTTTTGCTGAAAGACGGGAATGGTTAATGATAGCTATTTTTCCAGTATATGATACCGATGCCAAGAGACATCTTCAGGCTTTTGGAGCCAACGGGTTTCTTCAGAACTAATATCGAAACTCACAAGCACGGAATAACTCGAAGTTTTCCAAGCTAGGTAATACATACGCCCATTGATAGTTAATCTTTGTCTTAAAGGTAAGTGTGGTGGACATGAGCTTGAAGTCTTTCTCCATTGACTTGATACACCTCCTCCTAGTACGAATACAGAATTCTCTACCAGGAGCTGTACGGGCTTTGCGTCCGAAACCACACAGACCACTTTATATTGATCATGTACAGGGTCGTGTCCGATATGGTATCTAATCTTGTGATCTTTAGCTATGATGTTGGATTCTTCTATGTCAGGTAAGACGACAAGTTGCCTAGTAGTAGTGTTATATATTTGTGCATTTGTCCCATTTGTAAAGCACATCAAACCGCGACAAACATGAGAGACCGAGTAGCCTTCAATTGCTGGGATTGTCAAATCTTGATCAACTACAAAGGATGACATAGTACTAACATCCAAATCAGGAGAAGACGACGATGATAGTAATAATTTCTTTTTGTTGTCAAAGCACAACCACATGTATAGACGAGGCGATGATGATGAAGCTTTTAGGTAACGGTTGATGAAATATTTGGAGCAAATGAAAGATGACCAGATGCTAGAGACAGATTTGAACTTCATTAGGGATTTCGGAGGGAGTCTTGTGAGAATCTCTATTATGAGATCGAAAGGATTCATGGCTCTTGCATATGTCTCTCTGTCTTCTTGTTACTTCCGATCTCTTATCCATTCTTCTTGTCTCCTGGTGTAAGGTGACGGCTAGGTCAAAAGAAAAATGCATATTTTTTTAAGTATCACACAATGGGGATACTGGATGGGTTTTATATAGACTGATGACCAAAAGAATGTGTGGGAATAGTTAATTTCTTTTTATTCCTTAAATTTGACACCATTTATAAGGAATCATAATAGTTAACTAGATTTCAACCCGCACAACCGTGCGGGTATTTAAATACGAAAATATTTGAAATTATATAATAAAATTTATCAATAAATAAGTATAATTTTATTCTGTATGCTATCAAATTTCATAATCATTTTTATGTGACTTATAATATTATTAATATAAAATTTATAATTTTTATTTTTGTAATAATTTTTTAAAATATTATTATTAAGATTACTAATTTATATATTTTGTTTTATTTTTAAATTTGAAATCTATGTAAAAATTAATTAAGTTGGACCTACATAATACATAAACAAAATTTTGGGATATTGTTAAAAGTATTTTACATAATTTTAATTTTTGTTTATAAATTAAAAATGAATTAAAATTTTAATTATATTTTATGATAATTATATTTTATGATAATTAAAATTTTAATTAAATAATTTTTGAAACTATATCTTGAAAAAGATTCTAAAAGATTTTTAAAAGATTTTGTTAGAATTTTCTTAAAACTATTTATTTGTATTTCAAACAAAAATGAAAGATATGAAAAGATATTATAATGTTATGTAAAATTTTATAAAAATCTAAAGATGGTCCAAACTAAAATATCACACATGAAGTGAGTCATGACTTCTCTTTTAATATAATAGATTTATCTTCATTCCTTAAATTTAACACCATTTATAAGGAATAACTTTTCTTCAATATTCCTTCTCATTTCTTTTAATTTAAGGAATCAATGAACAAAACCATTCCTTATCAAATCCGGGGAGGAACAACATGGAACAAGTGTTCCTATTATTTTGTTCCTCTTCATTCATTTCCTCGTTGTTCTTATTATTTCTTTGGTGGTCACCAATCAAAGCCAATATCTGTATAATATATATATATATATATTCTATAAAAAATATTAGTTAATTGTAAACAATTATTATTAATGTCTATGAATAAAATTATTTATAATGTTAATAAGTATTAGACACATTAAATATATAAAAATTATAAACATATAATATGTTTAATTAATAAAATATATTGTATTAATATTGAAAACTAAAAATATCCATTCAACCTTTAAGAAAATAAAAGGTTTATTGTAAAATTATAATCAGTTTCGAAATTTAAACTATTTAATTTTTTTAATAATGTATAGGTATTAAGTTATTATATTTTAGAGGAGCACACAGCTTCTTATATATATATATATATATATATATCAGCATTTTATTAATAATATTAATAATATAACATGTATTAACGTTGATTAAATGTATTCTTTTTTGATGAAAAAATAAATGTATATGTTCCAAAGTACATGTATTCTCATTTTATAATATTTTTTATTATTCATATATATATATATATGTATATTTATTATTTATATTTGATAAATTTAATTTAAAATTATAAATATTTTATTTCTATTTTGTTTTTTTATTTTAAAGTAATGTATTAATTTTTTCATGAAAAACTAAAAAAATAATGCAAAACCAAAATAAAAATCAAAAAACCAAAACTAAAACCTGGAAAAAAAAACAAGGGACATTTGCTAAAAACAACCTAAAATTTCAAATTAAATGCAAAAGTGTACCCCAATTTCAATCAAATGCAAAACCAACCTAAAAGGGTAAGAAAATGTCTATTTACTCCTTATGACTAAACAAAAAAACAGAATGCTATTTTACAATTTTATCCTTATGAAGTCTACATTTAATAGAGAGAAGTATACAAGGTGTAGACTTATCATGAAGTCAATATTATAGACTTATTACGAAGTCTACATTCTAAGTTAATCTTAGAAATTTATTTTTAAAATATATAAAAATAAATTGTGTGAAATTTCTTTTAGCTGATCAATATAAGAATCAAAATGAGGTATATAAATTAAAATTTCATATAATTAAGCAATTTTAACGAATATATATTGATTAGGTAACAATAATGAAATAGTCATAGTAGATTTTAAAAAAAAATCTAGTAAGTACTACAAAATTTTAATTATAGTAGACTTCAAAAGAAGTCTATACTATCAAAATTTTTAACCTAGTTACACTTTTTGTCTCCCTATATAAATGAAATTTAGACTATCACTCTCTCAAATGGCTGCACAAGTTTCTAAAAAAACTCTCACCTCTCTAAAACTCTCTCCCTTCTCTATAAAACTCTCTCATTGCTCAATTCATTGAAGGTGAAGATGAATTTTTGTTTAGTTTGTTAATTTTTATATCATGTCTTTTTCACAATATTATCTTGTGTTTGTAGGTTAATTCATGGTTATCACATTCCACTCTAAAAATGTAAGTCTTAGATCTATAGATTTTAAATGTGTACTTTTATATTTATATTCAAATAAAGTTACAAATACAAACTCTTTGCAGTTACTTTGCTAATATTTCATCTTATAAATTCTATTTTTAAAGTTTTGTTTTCAGATTAAAAACTATATTTCACATTTTCACATGTACATAGTTTCCAGATCTGAAAATTATCCGATATAGTAGACTTGTAATGAAGTCTACAAAACTAGAAGTGACTTTTTTATGTATAATGTTTTTTCTCATAATTTTATCTTTATTTTCTTCCATGGTTTTTATCTAGTTTCCCAAAAATGAAAGATTCACATTTTCAAATATATAATTTTTTCAGATCTGAAAATTATCTAATATATAATAAACTTCTAATGAAGTCTACAAGGTTATGACTTTAATTGTGTATCTTATGTTTTTCATAGTTTCATCTTTATTTTGCAGGTATTTTCTTCCATGGTTTTTTTCTCTTCCACAAAAAAATTGTAAGATTTACATCTATAATGTGTGTTTTTCTTTTTATATTTAAATAAAGTTACATATCCAAACTCTATGTCTATAATTTACTACTAAATTATTTTAAAAATTCTATTTTCTAAAATTTTTAGATTTAAAATTATTTTCATGTTTGTAATGTATATATTTTTCAGATCTAAAATTTTCGGATTGAGTAGACTACAAATGATGTTTATTAACTTAAACTTTTAAACAGACTTCATTAGAAGTCTACTCAAATATGATTTTAATTTTTCTGTCTTATATTTTTTTGGGAGAATTTCAATTATACCACTTTGTTGATACCACTTTTCATGTTTACCATCAACAAAGGAATATTTTCAAAAATACACATTTTATTAAAGGATAAGAGACTCTTATATCCTTGTTATTTATATATATACATAAAATAAATATTAAATAAAATATTAACCCTAAACCCTAAAACATCAATTCTAAACTCTAGGCCCAAAAAAGTAAACCCTAAACCCTAAAATCAACCCTAAACCCTAAAATATCAATTCTAAACCTTAAACCCTAAACTCTAAACCCTAAAAAGTAAACCCTAAACCCTAAAAAATCAACACTAAACCCTAAACTATCAATCCTAAACCCAAAACCCAAAACCCTAAATTCTAATAGTATTTTGACTATTAAAATTTTAATGGTAAAATTGGTTAGTGTAAAGTTGAAAAGTGGTATTTGAAAGTGTTATTTCTGACAATTTCCCTATTTTTTTCCTAATTATATTTTATTTTGCAGGTATTCTCTTCCAAAGTTTTCAAATCACATTCCAAAAATGTAGAATTACATATATTCATTTAAAATTTTATTTTTTTGTTTATATAAAACTAAATTGATAGATAAAAGCTCTATGCTTTTTCTTTGCTAATTTTCGGTTAAACACTATTTGAATTATTTTGCAGAAAATACCATTTTCTAATTTTGTAATTCTACATTTTTAGATCTGAATTTTTTTTTTGGCATGAAGTTTATTCTAAAATTAAGGCTGTAGACTTTAAAGAAAGTCTATTGAACCCATCATCTTTAAGTAGACTTTTATGAACTCTCCTAAAAATAATTTGAATATGTTTACCTTATGTTTACTCATAATTTTGTCTTATTTTGCATGTACTCTTTTCCAAGATTTCATTTGAGATATCAAGATTATGAATAATCAAACACTCTAGAGTTTTAAAAGAAATTGCTTTGTAATAATTTATCATTACAAAATATCCATTTGTAAATAAATATTCTGATACATAATCAATAAACATTGTATTAATTTTTTAATTGTGTTGCATTTGTATGATATTATTAATTTTTGTTAGCAATCAGTTTTTCAGAAAATACTCTAATCAGCCAAACAGTTAAAAACCACCATAAGCTAAAACAACAACTAACACACAATAATGTATGTGTTAAAATTATGTAATCTGAAGACTTGTTTTATAGAAATTTTAGAGATTTTGAACACAAAATAGACTAATAATACAAATTAATACAACTCCAATAGCAATAAAAGAGAGTAGATTTTTGTGTTTGTTTACTTTTCTACCTGTAGACTAATAAAGAAGTCTGCTTTTGTTGTACACATTTAAAAAAGTCACATTACGGAAATCATGCTTGTTTAACACTTCATAACAATACCAAAGAAACCTACAAATTAAACATAAGTTGATACACAACAACAGATAACTGAACCATTTCTTGTGGAAAAAATGAAAATTTACATAGTTAGTGATCATGTTTAAAAAAACTATAAAGTAGACTTACCAATACGTCTACGATTATTAGCTAACTACATGATCAAATAAAAAGTATCATAATTTCATAAATATAACATATCTTATATATTAAAAGAAAAGTCATGACTTCACTTCATGTGTGATATTTTAAAATGGACCATCTAATAGAATTTATGACATTACATTATTCAATCATTAATAACATTCATTAGATTCACTAATAACATTTATTGG